CCTCCCCCCCTTCATCAATTTCCTAATCCCTAACAAAGGCCTCCCCCTGCCCCCTTTCGGTATAATTTCTTTTTCTTAGTCTTTTTCTTTAACTTTTTATTGTGAATTGAGTGAAGGTTTATAGAGCAGATCATCAGGGCAGTTTCTTTAAAAACTAAATATGCTGTGATGATGATGTTGTTGTTAAGTACCATTGAGTCAGTTCTGACTCATAGCAACCCTGTGTAGATAGGGTTTCCAAGGAGCAGCTGGTGGGTTTGAACTGCCAATACTGTGGTTTGCAGTCCAGTGCTGATCCTACAGCGCCGCACCAGGAGATTTATGTTGTTGTGCCATCGAGTTGGTTGGAGGTTCAAAGTGACTATAGTCTAGTGCATTAACCCGTAGAGCCACACCAGGACTCTCTAGAGCCCAACGATTTAACTCCTGGGTACTAATCTGAACTGCAAGGTCAGTGGTTCAAGCTCACCAGCTGCTCCTTGGAAACCCTATACAAGGTCGCTATGGGTTGGGATCGATTTGACAGTACTTCACAACAACAACAGCTTATTGCAGAACAACGAAGACTTATTCATATATACAGACTGAGAGATCTCAAGCAGTTTCTAGTTTAGTGGGCACTGTAGAAACTTAAACAGATCGTTTACAACATAGTATGGTTAAGGACATGCACTAGAAAGTTTAGGCCATTTTTACCCAAATACGGGGTCGCTGTGAGTCAGAACCAACTAGCCAGCTGCTTAGCAACAACATGAAAATGAAAATGCAGTCTTTCGTTCTAAAGTTCATCCGAAAAATGAATGAAAACAGCCAGAAATTTTTGGAAAAGAAAAAAACCAGGCAGAGTTGATGCTGTCTAATATTATCCAAATGAATACTAAAGCTTGTGATACCACCATATAAATGGGCAGTCAGTGAAACAGTAGAAAATCCAAAGCAAATCCAAGTTCACTCGCTCATTCATTTTATTTCATTCAACAAATATTTATTGAGCTTCCACTGCAGGCCAGGCATTGAATTCTCAGCTCCAAGGTATAGCCGTGAACAAAGCGGTGGGCACAAAAGACCTGATCTGCAGAGAAAGAGAGACCAGCAAACAGTGGGAGCGACACTACATCAAATGTCAGCATGTAGAGGCAGAGCAGTGGGTTATGTTTTAAACTGAGTTGGTGGGGGAGACCTCAATGAGAAGACAAAGTGAACAAAGGCCAAAGGGAGTGAGAAAATGAACCATTTCTATACCAGGAGAAGAACATTCTAGATAGAGGACCAACAAGCGTTGGCCTGGTAAGTGGAAGAAATGGCAAGGAGGTCCGTGCGTCCCAATTGGAATGTACAGAGAAGAGAGCACTTCGGTTCCACATGCAGAGGTTGCTTGTCTCCTGAGAGCTTAGCATTATGTGAGGCCCGAGGGATCCAGAGTCCTGAGGTTCTTGAAAGCCAATGGGAAAAAGTCACAAGAACAACATAATAAGTATTTGGTAGATCCTAGAGAAGGAATTCCTGGGTGATACAAATTGTTAATGTACTCAGCGGACAGCCAAAAGGTTGATGGTTCATGCCCACCCAGAGGCACCTCATAAGAAAGGTCTAGAAACCTGCTTCCCCAAAAAGCCATTGAAAGCCCTATGGTGCACAGTTCTACTCTGATACACTTGGGGCCACCACCCGTCTAAATTGATTCAACAGCAGTTGGTAAGCTAGAGGAAGGGCCAGTGTGAGAAAGAGGAGGTTTCTGGGAAGGTTTCCTGATAGATGACACCAGAGTTGACCTTGCGCATTTAAATGATGCTCCAGGGTCCAAAGCCAATGCGAAGCTCACAGATCCTGTCGGGAAGCGGCCACTCGGTGAGTAGCTTGACGTCCCAGTTCAGCAGCGCTGCCACTGTGCTCCCGCCAGCCAACCAAGACGCCAGTCAGTGCCAGACCAGCCCAGACTTCAGCCATGATCGGCAACTCAGGTACGGAGAGGGCTCTTGTTTCCAAGATAACTGAAGCTCTCCTCTGTCCTGCAGAGTTCAGACATTCAGAGTCTGAAGCCTCCGCACCCTCTCTCAGCTAATGAAGGAGAGATCTTTCTCTATCAGCCAGTGATTACAGGAACCGTGATGGTTACTAACCAGTCCCGGTGGCTGGGACTTACGAAGCAGCAGGAGAGGGTCCTAATGACCAGAGAAAATGACCCTTGTGTTCGCTGTCCCCTGAGAACAGAGCCATGGAGAACAGACATTAGAGTCTGCCACAGGGAACCTGCATTTTAGGTGCTGATAAAAACTTCACACTCCTCCCTTCCTCTGCTCACAGGCTGTTGCTGAGCCAGCCCATCCAACCCATGATGCCTGGGTCCTGTGATGCCAGGCAGTCCTCAGAGGTCAGCAGACCTGGACGGCAGGTCAAGTACGTGGCCTGGGGGTGGGAGGAAGCAGAGGCCTGCATCAGAATAGTCAAGAGCTGCCTGGACCAGCAGCTTTCACTTTGAATTTTGCACTGTAAGCAGGTTCAGGGTGGGCACACGTCCTGTAAGAAGACTCTTCCTTTCCGTTTTCCTTCCACCATGCCCCAAGCCAAACCATCTTCAGCCACAACCTGAATGAAACCATTCATTACACCACCCAATTTGTCATCATCATCCAATGTCTTTACAAATCTAAATGTCTTTGCCCTTGGTCGCCAAATCCATGGCCATCGAATCATTTCCAACTCATGGCAACCCCATGTGACAGAGTAGACTGCTCCCTAGGGGTTTCTGGGACAGAACCTTTATAGAAGCAGAGTGTCCGGTCCTTCTACTGCAGTGTTACTGGTGGGTCTAAGCCTCCAACCTCTAAGTTACCGAGAGCAAACTGCTTGATCTACCTGGAGACCTTGCATCCCCTGGTAAACTGAGTCCTAACCCGCCTTCCACACGGTGCTCCCTGGACTGCAGCTGGCTGGACACAAGCCTACTTTTGAGCTCGTGGCTCCAGCACTCTGCCACGGAACTTGGGACCCTACACATATGAAGCCCTCCTCCCACCCCAGACACACAGCATCTTCTCGGTCATCTCCCCAGTTTCTTCTCCGCTGGTGCCCCAAGACCAGAAGGAGCTCACTCTGCCGCTTAATTACTAAAGGCTAAGGTTACTGGGGACATAGGGGGAGCTACTGTAAAAGGTACTGGGAAGTTATTTCTAGCTCTTTGCAGTGAAGCAGAGATAGAAGTATCTCATAGATGATGCCGGCTTTGGAAATACCTAAGGTGCTAGTGAGCTAGGCCTCCCCTGAGGACTGTCCCTGAGAGGCCCTTCCTGTGGTGTCCCTCAGCCAGAAATCACAGTGGTCACACTTTACAGTGGTTGGTTACAGTGCATTCCTCAGGGCTGAGGCCCATATGCACTTGTATTACTTCATTTCATACAATAAGAGTCCAATCATCTAGGGACATTGTCCATTTTCATTTAGGATTACAGAGGTTAAGGTGCAGGGCCCTGGTGGCACTCCCTGCTAAGGGTTCAGCTTCTAACCAAAAGGCTGGTGGTGTGAATTCTCCCAGCAGCTTGGCAGGAGGAAGACCTGGTAACCTGCTTGTTGGGCGGTTGTACCCTGTCACGTGGCTCACATTAGTTGGCATCTATTTGCCAGTGCCCAACAACAACAGAGGTTCAGTTCCCTTCACAAAGGCACACGTGGCACAGCCAGAGGTCATCTGACTGTGGGCAAGGCCCCCTCCCTTTGGCTTTCGTGGGTCTTCAGAGCCCTCCTTGATGACTCTCTCTGGGCTCCCCCTTGCCTTTACTTTCTGGTGCTTTCTCTTGTCATGGGGAACCACACACGGCACAGAGCTTTCTTTAAAGTTCTCTTTGAAGTGCTCGTTGACACAAGGCTGTCTTTGGTTTGGGTTTTGGGTTTTGTCTATTATTGCTAAGTGATCCAAACATGTGGGTACAAGGATTCCAAAGATACTTAAAATTCAGTGAACGAGGCAAAAATGGAAATTCTTTACTCAGTGAGCACTCACTACCATTTTCAGTCAACCCAATAATTTATGCCCTCAACACCCACCCATCCCACTCCCACCCCCTCCAACCAGTCTCTTGTAGACATGATCTCACAATTCCATCTTCTAGAGCTTCTCAGGGCAGCCTCCTGTGCCCACAAGTCTCCTCAGAGAAAATTTAGAGCCCGCAATGCATGTTACAGACTGCCCATCTAGAGAAATGACCTCTCTAAAAATAAAAGTCTAATGTGAAGTGTATCCTCTCCATATTGTCCACATTACATATTTTCTGTAGTACCCCCCTAGTCCACAATCTCCCAGCCACACCCCTGAAGCTGTTGGCTGGTGCACATGGCTGATGTGCTCAGCTGCTGATTGAAAACTTGGGAGAATCAAGTCCACCTAGAGGTACCTCAGAAGAAAAGTCTGGTGATCTGCTTCTGAAAAACAAGCCCTTGGAACCCCTAGGTAGCACAGTTTCCACTCTGATGCAGGTGGGGCTATCATGACCTGGACGGGGACCACCCACCCCAGTATCATCAACACTTGTTTCTTTTTTTTTTTAACCACACATTTCAGAGAACATTTTTAATTTCACTGAAAACTCATTACTGTAAGCTAGGACATTTCTGCAGATTTGCAACTTTATCAGCCAGAAAGTTGGCACTTTTCAAGCACAGGATCATTTTGACATGGAAAAGTTTATAAATCAAAATTCATGGGCATAATATTCTAGAACCAAAATGCAAGTCTTATTCTGCCCTAAGTTTCAGTTCTCGTTTAAATGGTTCTCGAAGTTTGACAGGTTCTTGAATTGCAGCAACACTTGTTTCTTAAAGGCTTATTTTCTCCTTCCCACGTCAAATCAAACAGGTATCAGCAGAGCCAGGCAGTGTTTCCAAGCCCAGACGTGCACGCCTCCAGCAGCAGCGCCTCCACCCCTGTCCTGCTGATGGGACAAGCAGTGCTTCACTCCAGCTTCTCCAGCTCCCAGCCATCGCCGCTACAGCCCACGCAGACCCCACAGCAGCCACCACAACACTACCTGCAGGTGGGAGACCTGGGGTGCCACCCCAAGCTTGAACAGCCTTTTTTCTATGTTTTCAAAGCTATTCCAGACCCCAGTACACAGCACTACTGTTGAGTCAGTTTCGACTCATAGTGACCCGGTATAGGATTTCTAAGGAGCAGCTAGTGGGTTTGAACCACTGACCTTGTTGTTAGCAGTTCAGGTGTGGCACTGTAGGATACATATACATACATGTATATACATGGAATCCTGGTGTGGCGCTGCTGGTTAATGCACAGGATTGCAAGGGCAGTGGTTCAACTTCACCAGTCACTCCTTGGAAACCGTATACAGGGTCGCTATGCGTCAGAATATACTCTACAGAACTTAACAACAATACATATACATGGAGCCCTGGTGTGACGCTGTAGGATAAGCACTGGACTGCTAACCACAAGGTTGGATCAAAACCACCAGCAGCTCCTCAGAAACCCTGTACAGGGTTGCTATGAGTTGGAACCTACCCAACAGCACTTAACAACATATATATGTATATACATGTATATACATGTGTCTATGTGTGTGTGTGTATATATATATATATATATATATATTGGGTTAATGCATCAGACTGCAAAGCCGTTTGAACTGCAAGGTCGGCGGTTCAAGCTCACCAGCTGCTCCTTGGAAACCCTATACAGGGTCACTATGGGTCAGAATCGACTTGATGGCACTTAACAACAACAACAATATGGAGTCCTGGTGTGGTGTGGGCTAATGCATCAGACTGCAAAGTCATTTGAACTGAAGGTTGGTGGTTCAAGCTCACCAGCTGCTCCTTGGAAACCCTATACAGAGTTGCTATGGGTTGGAATTGACTGGATGGCACTAAACAACAATACATATGTGTGTGTGTGTGTGTGTGTGTGTGTGTATGCACATACATACATAAACACATGTGCATATACATTTGGAGGCCTCATAAAGTTCATTGGAAAATCCCATTATCTTTCTATTTCCTTTTTCCACAAACCCCCACTGATTGTGTATGTACATGTGTCTATATAACAACCAATTTGCCATTTCAACAGTTTTTACTGTTGAATGGACAGTTCAGTGACATTGATGGCTTTCATCAACGTGTACAAGAATCACTCGCTATCAGTTTCTCAATTATTTTTAATGCTTCAAGATTATAGTGAGTGTGGTGCTGTAAGATAAGCACTCGACCACAGTGTCGGTTTGAACCACAAAGTCAGCGGATCAAACTCGCCAGCCGCTCTTCGGAAACCCTATCCAGTGTGTCTATAAGTTGGAACCAACTCGACGGCACATTAACAACAGCGACCTAAGTATAGGCAGTATGAGTAATCAAGAGTCAATTACTATGCCTCCTATGGTTATGGACTGAAAAGGTAGTCACCTTCTTATCATTATTCTTCATCTTATGGTGTCCATTCTTTTTTAAAGAAAATGCCAGCTATGGATTACTAGGTCTGTTGAACTTGTATGTTTATAGACAAAAGTTATGATTATAGACAAAAGTTAAGATGTTTTTCTTAGATGCCATCCAGTGGGTTTCAACTCATAGTGACCGTATGCACAATAGAACGAAGTCCGGCCTAGTTCTGCACCAGTCTCATAATTGTTCTGTTTGAGCCCACTATTGCTGCTACTGTGTCAATGCATCTCATTGGGGGTCTTACTCTTTATCACTGACCCTCCACCTTACCAAGCATGATGTCCTTCTCCAGGGGCTGGTCCCTCCTGACAATATGTCCAAAGTATAAGATGAATTCTCACCATCCTCGCTTCTAAGGAGCCTTCTGGCTGTATTTCAAAGACAGATTATGTTTGTTCTTCTGGCAGTCCATAAAACTTTCAATGTTCTTTTCCAGCATCAGAATTTAAATGAATCCATTCCTCTATGTCTTCCTTATCATTGTCCAACTTACACATGCATATTGAGGCTGTTGAAAATACCATGGCTTGGGTCAGGCACACGTTAATCCTTAAACTGATAACTTTGCTCCTGAACACTTTAAAGAGGTCTTCTGCTGCAGATTTGCCTAATGCAAAAATTTTAACTGCTGCTTCTATGAGTGTTGATTGAGGATCCAAGCAAAATGAAGTCTTTGACAGCTTCAGTCTTTTCTCCATTTATCATGATGTTCATTGGTCCAGTGGTGAGGACTTTCATGTTCTTTACATTGAGTTGCAATCTACAAATATTTCGAGTCCTCTTCACTTTCAGCAAGCATGGTTTTGTCATCTGCATTATCTCCGGTTGTTAATGAGTCTTCTTCCACCCTTGATGCCACATTCTTCTTCATGTAATCCAGTTTTTCAGATTATTTGGTAAGCATACAGATTGAACAAGTATGGTGAAAAGATACAACCCTGACCCACACCTTTCCTGGTTTTAAACCATTCAATATCCCCTAGTTCTGGCTGATGTATAGGTTCCTCGTGTGAATCATTAAGTGTTCTGGAATATCCATTCTTTGCAATGTTATCCATAGTTTATTAGAATCTACACAAATAAATGCCTTTGCATCTTTCTGGTATTCCCTGCATTCAGTCAAGATCCATCTAATGTCGTTCCACATCTTCTTTAGACTCCGGCTTGAATTTCTGGCAGCTCCCCGTCGATGTATTGCTGTAACTATTTTCAAATAATCTTCAGCAGAATTATTGTTGTTGTCAAGTGCCATTTAGTCAGTTCCAACTCTTAGCGACCCTGTATAGAGTTTCCAAGGAGCTATTGGTAGGTTTGCACTGCCAACCTTGTGGTTTGCAGCCCTTACAAATATAAAATTAAAAGTTATACAAATAGTTAAATCACACTTAAAGATGTACACTTCATAAATATAATAATGTTGCATGACAAATTGGGGGCACATTTACATGTGGATACTACTTGTTGATGTTGTGTGCTATCAAATCGATTCCAACTCATAGAGACCATATGGGTCAGGGTAGAATGGCCCTAGAGAATTTTCAAAACAGTTTTCTTTAAGGAAGCAGAGCGCCAATTCTTTCTCCCATAGAGTAGCTGGTGGGTTCAAGCCACCAATCTTTGGATTAACAGCTGAGTATGTAGCCATTGTACCACCAGAGCTTTTTGTACACTACTGAGGAGGCAAAGATTACTTCAAGAAAGTGTCACATGCATGAAAAGGATGGAGGGGGAGAGTCATTGGTTTGGTAGCTCAGATGGGACAGAACTACCACCCACCTACTCAGATTCGAGCAGGGTTTCCAGTCCTACATGACCCGTATCCCCAGGGCTGTCACTTCTTGCCTCAACCCAGTTGGGCGTCCTCTCCTACCCTCTAGCACCCACCCCAGGCAGAGACACGGCTTTCCCTCCAGCCCTACCTGGCATGCTTGGGTGCCTTCAAAGCCACAGGAGAATGTTTAGTGACTCATTCTGAGAACAGCAGGAGAAAGATGAAGGGTCCTTTTTGAAGGCCTAGAACGCATTGCCATGTCAACGTGGCTAATCTGTCTATGGCATAATCTGAAAATCTTCCCGGTCCAAATATAGTGGCGGTCAACTCAAGATTGCCTTCCATATCGTCCCGGCACCCTAAAAAAAAACTCCGTGGCAAGACACCCAAAGGGCTGCTGAATCACAGAACTACCTCTGAGCCCTTTCTATTTTCCTTCCAGGTGCAGACACCAACCTCTTTACACAGTGAGCAGCAGGACTCACTACTTCTCCCCACCTACTCGCAACAGCAAGGGACCCTGGGCTACCCAGCCCAGCCCCAGCCCCCGCACCCAACACGAAGGGTCAGCAGTCTATCGGAGTCACCAAGCCTCCAGCAGCCACCACGGTAGTGCCCTGGCACATTGGCCAGCTCACAACTGGCTGTAACCAATGGACAAGGGTGGGTGACCGCCGGACTTGGGGAGAGGGGTTTAAACCCTTGGCTTTTGCGCACACGGCCTACATTTCAGAATTCCTTGAAGGTGACACAGTCTCCAGAGCTGCAGCGGGCATGGTGGGAAATGTCTGGGGACACAAGCCATCTTTCCCTTGCCACTGTAGCTCTCGGACACACTCTACAGTCATACTTGGATGTGAACCAAATGTTCCACATAAGCCTTGTTAACAAGTTTAAGGTGGATAAGGCATCCTCCCGAGAGTGCGCTCGTTAGTCTAGCAGTCTGTGGCTACCCACACCAGCTAGTCAGCCAGCCTTCACTCTCCCAATCTTCTTTCCTTTGCATTTGAGAAGCACTGGGTCAGAGATCTGTTGAAGAGAAAGCATACAGAGATTATTTTTCATTATTTTTAAATGGTTGGTTTTATTTTAATTTGCACAGAGGAAATAACTTAGGCACTTTCTGTTTTGAAAAATAAATAAGGTCTCTTGACTTCATTTGGAGACCCCAGTAACAAAAACAGCCCACCAATCAGATCGCAAAGCTGGTCATTATTCATAAGCTGCAGGTCCACACCTTCTGGCCTAAACCCTCGTGGAACTAGGCTCTTCACCCCACAGCTGTTCTGTTCTGGTGGATATTTTTTTTCCACTAAATGTAACACTGGACTACTTCCTGTTTACTTCATTAATTGCAACTACAGAAGAGAACTCGAAGCAAAGCACAATCATGCAGCCGATATTCCAGAATTTGGTTGAGAACTCTCAGAATACAAAAGGAGAGGTTCCACAAGCCAGACAGGCATGTGGGATTCCAGGTCCCAAGGAAAACCCACCACACGTCTGCCCTTTGAGTGAGAATGCTGCATCTTTCTACATATCTTTCATGATTATACCGAGGATTGGATTTTCCTTTTAAAAATGCACTTTGCTTTTTTTGTATGTTTTGTTATGTTGAGATGTTTCTAAAGAAAAGATTTTATGTAATTATAACACAAAGTGTAGTGAATTGTACAGCTGTTGTAATAATGACCTATTTCTATATAAAATAAAATTGTTATGGATTATGTGTAAATTATTTTGTATCTGAGACACCGGTCCTTTCCCCAATACAAAAGTTTAAAAGTTTTCTTGTGTTTTTCTGTGAGTGGACATTTTGTAATAAATTAACAAATTTGTACAATTTCCTTTGGAGGCAATTTCTGTCCCTTGTATATGCATGCATACATCTTTTCATCACTTCTTGTTAAGTGCCACTGAGTCGGTTCTGACTCATTGTGTACAGAGTTTCTAAGGAGCAACTGGTGAGTTTGAACCACCAACCTTGCGGTTCAAATCAACCTTGCGGTCCGTTGCTTATCCGACAGCACCACATCAGGACTCCTTTTCATCAGTAGACTCTTTTAATTTCAGGATATTTCTAAGTATAATCAATGGTATAGAAAAGGTGGAAACAATAAATAAGCAAAGCAATGGTGCCAAGTGTTTTGAGCTGCAACATATGCATTAACTTTTTGGGTCTCTGATTCTTATCTTAAAGGTGTTAAAGAGTTAGACCAAAGAAAAACTTATGGTTGAAAAGCTCAAACAGAAGAAAAGTTCAAACTGAGGAAACAAAGTGAAAGGGGTTGACTGGGTGTCCCTGTGAGCTATTCTCTTAGAGGGGTTTGTCAAGGCAAAAAGCATAACCCTGAAAGACATATGATATAAATAAATATCAACACGATTGGTTGGTATTTATATACATTTTACAAAAAAATCTTTTTAGTAATTAGAAATAAGTGTGGAGGCAGACTTTGACTAACCAAAAGTTTCCTGGCATATTAAAGAAAAAATAGTGAACTTTATAGTACACCTTGATACCGACACGCGTGTCTTGATCTCTGACACCTGCAGGCATATTTTCTGAGAGATGCAAAGTGGAGAAAACTTCTGAGAACCAATCAAGTTAAAGTGGAGTCAGCCTACAATTCCAACTAAAAAACCTCAGACATGTCAAATGCCTTAACTTTCAGAGTGCCCTTTGTCATTCCCCCATTTTGATCAAGAATTCTCATAGAAAGCCACAGATCACTATTATAAGAGTGCCGCTTTCTGTATGGACATCTTCTCTGTGTTGTTAGATGGCTGCCTGTTTGGAGTAGACCCCAGACACTAAAAGAGTAGCCAGCCACCATTTGTTCTGTCTTCACCATGCTGAAGGAGCTCGGGTAGCGAAGTGGTTACGAATCGGGCTGTAACTGCAAGGTTAGCAGTTCGAAACCACCAGCTGTTCCGCAGGAGAAAGATGAGGCTTTCTGCTTCCATAAGGATTTACAGCCTCGGAAACCCTGTACAGAGTTGCTATGAATTGGAACGAACTCCATGGCACATAACCACCAACCACCGCCACCATGCTATAGCGTGGACCTCTTCTTCTGCGATCTTTATGGTGAGGGAGTGACTGAAGCAAGGTCCAATGTGAAGGAACAACTTGACAGGTAGAATGTGTGTAATTAAGGTGTAACGTGAAATTTCTGAATGAGTGATCCTTTTTAAATACATAATGTATCACATAGGGAGTAACTTGCTGAAAGGTGTGTAATGACATTGGACAAAGTCAAGGACAATTATAACAGTATGAAAAATGGTCAATTCAGTCAGTAATATAGAACAAATCAATGCCATTGGATAACCAACTAAAGATATCAAAAAGGAAAAAAAAAGGCAAATCAGATTCTTGGGTAGCAGCATGGAACCCAGTAACTTTCTGGACGATGTGCTCTACATCTTGTTTTCTTGCTTTTGAGGTGTTTGCCTAAGCATAACAGATGGAGTTTGTGATTCCATGTGGCTCTCCTTGGACTAGAAGAAAACTAGGAACAATTCTATCATCTCATCCAGCACAACTGGTAAGAGGGTTTGAATTTGAAGATAGCTTGGAATTTGGGGGGGGTGTATGAGTAACTAATTAGTACATGGATAAGAATGTCAATAGTCTATAGAAAGTTCTTACCAATTAATAGACATAAGCTTATAAAATATGACAATTTTAAAAGTAGTTAGCAATAGTAAGTAATCATTTCAAGAGCTTGCTTGAGGTCTTGTCTTGTTCTGTGATGGCGGGAGTAGCAGTCTCTGCTTCTCTCCATAAAGGCATTTGAAGTTAAAGTGCTTCAGACATGACTAGTCCAGCTTCAGCCTTTTTAAACTAAGACTGATGGATCCAAGGTTTAATTCCCCCATAATCTAGCATCATAAGGGTTAGTGAGAAGAAATAAATCTCTTCCAGCAGGATTCTAATGAGTCTCTTAATTAGTGTCTCTTCAAATATATATATACATATATTTCTTCTGGAGAGAAAAAGATCTTTTGGAGTATCAGATTAAAGATTATGTAAGAAACATAAGGGAGAGCCATTGAGTTTTGAACAACTATTTCTCTTGTAGTTGTTTCAGTATATTCATTTCTTGGAATTCATAGGCAGAATTATTTAAAACATTCTGTTACTACAGTTTTGCAACCCTACTTGAGGTTCAAAACCAGAAATGATTACATTATTGAAATACAGATCTGGACTAACAAGGGAAAGAAAAAATAGTTCTTATATCTAGAGAATAGAATACTGAATCAACAATACTCTTATATACACCTTATTTTGGATTACTGGTAGCTGAGAACAAAGTGCAGATTTGATGGTAGGAATTAATAATAAAAGTCATACAAAGCCAATGTAAAACCAAAGAAGAATTTTAGATGGAAATGTCTATCAGTATAATGAACCTTGTTTTGAAAGAATTTTAGGTGTAACATATAATAATTTTTAAATCTAATAGTTAGAATGTACCAGGAATAAGCTAAGATTATCAAGTTTCTAAAAAGTAATAAAACTATTTCATGTGAATTCCTCAGTTACCATTAATGACTTATGTTAGATTCGAGGAAAATAGAGTTGTAATCAAGTTAACAGTTGAAATAATAAAAATTATAGTATCATGTGCTTATTTAATATTGTTGTTAAGTGCTGTCGAGTTGGTTCCAAGTCATATTGATCCTGTATAGGGTTTCTAAGGAGCAGCTGGTAGGTTTGAACCACCAACCTTGTGGTTAGCAATCCAGTGCTAATCCTACGGTGCTGCACCAGAATAGCATAATTGACATATAGATTTTAACTTAGAGAAAATGTGTAACTTCTTTTTATTGGACAAAATTCCTTATGTAATAAAAAATTATCATAAATAACTCATCAAATGAAAGTATTGATCACCTCAAATAAATTCTCTTTTTCATAAACCTTTTAAGTGTTGTTTTCTGTACAGCTGTTAAGGTGACAATGAACATATCTCAGGCTGAAGCTGAAGAAAATTAAAACTAATCCACTAGTGCCAAAATATGATCATGAACATATCCCACCTGAAATTAGAAAACATCTCAAGAACAGATTTGATGCATTAGACACTAATGATTGAATACCAGAGCAGTTGTGGGATGACTTTAAGAACATCATACAGGAAGAAAGCAAAAAGTCATTAAAAATACAGGAAGGAAAGAAAAGACAAAAACAAATGTCAGAAGAGACTCAGATTTACTCAAGTGCAGAGAAGCTAAAGGGAATGGAAGAAATAAAAGAGCTGAACAGAAAATTTCAAAGTGCAGTCCTAGAAGACAAAGTCAAGTATTATAATGAAATGTACTAAATCCTGGAGTTAGAAAACAGAAGGGGCAGAACATACTCAGCATTTCTCAACCTAGAAGAACTGAAGAAACAATTCAAACCTCGACTTGTAAGGATGCTATGGGCAAACTATTGAATGATGCAGAAAGCATCTAAAGAAGTTAAAAGGAATGCGCAGTCACTGAACCAAAATGAAATGGTCGGTGTTCAACCATTTCAAGGGGTAACATAGGACTAAGAACCAGTGGTACCGAAGGAAGTCCAATCTGCAATAAAAGTATTGGCCAAAAAAAACAAAA